AATCCTATCCCGGTTCGAACCAAATTCTGACACTACCTTACTAAAACATGAATAAATTGAGCTAAAAATGGAATCTAACGCTCTAATTGGTACCATTATAAAGCTTATTTTGACATGGTCAATTTAGACTTAAGAACGGACCAATTCGGAGTTAAAACGAGTGAGATATGGCCCGTTGAAGAAAGGTGTCTCCAAAAATATAGAAGCAGTGTTTTTAGCAGAAAATTGAACTTGGAGCGCAGTTTATGAGGTCAAGGCGACATTTTTCAGAAAAACACGAAGAGGAAACTCCCCTTAAAATCACATTTTCTATATGACAAAGTTGAAAACGGAATTTATTTCCCAAAAGAAATCCCTAAAATGCCCTTAAGGTCAGATTTTTCAACAAATGGGTGAAATGAGTCCATAGGAGGCTCAAAACACAAACAAAAGGATTTTTCATCAAAACAATCATGCACGCAAACGTAAATAGTAATTTAAGCGTGCGGGAATGGTCCGCGGCTCCCGAAAATGACCAAGTCAAAATCCGACCCCCCAACGGCCAAAAAGGCGAAAATGAACTTGAAATGGAAATTTTGAAGTCCAAAATTATAAATGGTTTCAAATGACCATTTGGCCCTTGGCCAAACTTCATACATGACTAATGAGACCCTATAGAAGAATCAAAATGGAATTCCGAAACCCAATGCAAACATGGTGAAACAAAAATTTAATATTTTTCAATATTTTCATAATATTTCATGAAGTTATAAATTACATAGGATACAAAATACATGTCATTGGCCTCCGGCCTCATCTCATACATGTCAAATACATTGTAAAGAGTGTACTCATGTACACAATACATAAATGGAATCAAATATACACATTTTGACAACTGAGGCTACAAGTAGTATTTCTAGCCAACATTTACAAAAATTAAAGCCTTCAAGTCAACTATCATCCAAGCAATGATGAACATCATGCACCAAGTCTTCATACCTGAAGCAGCCCCCCAATAACTTCAGGGTGACTAAACAAGTTTACTCGTAAAGGATGAGCATGCATAGACTCGATTTCTTTAGAGATTTTTAGACTAACATGAAACAGCTCAAAAGGATCATGCCACCTAACGTCTATGACAAATGTGAGACTCAGGAAGCATCCTAAGCTACCTTAGCTCATTTATAACATAATTCACACCTTTCATGCAATTCCAAACAACATAAGGACATGCGATACAAATGAACAAGATATAGATTCTCAAGGTTATCAACTTGAAATCTAAAATACGAAAACGATAAAAGTGGGTCATGCCACCTAACGTCTATGTTCCAAATGAATCTATAGGATCATTCCAAAGCTACATTTGAACATTTCTAGCATAAATCACATCATGCATGCAATTCCGAACAACATAAGAACATGGTATACAAAGCAATAAGATATAGATTCTCAACGTTATCAACTTGAAATCTAAAAGTGCGAAAACTAACTAAATATAACAATTTAGCATGGATGTACTTAACAACATCAATTCGCCAATAGCCAAAACCACAAATCACAATTAAACATGATTGTCAACTTGGAATTGAATGCGAAATAAAATAGTTGGAAACTTGGACATCACGTCTCGGACTAAACCAAGATCAAAATGGTTATTCCGGGCATTAACCCGCTGGGAACACCACCTTAGTGCACACTATCTCAATCGGGAGAACTCATACCTCCCACACTAGAGCCAAACTCTAGCCATATCACTTGTAACAATGTCCCAAGACTCCAAAATAAACCAAATAAGTTCACAACTTATACATAATTTATATAATGCATGAAACCACCTTCCATACACAAGTAGGTTGAAACCACACAATCCATGCCTTAGAGTTTAAATTCTAAGATGGCATATACAATGTCAAATACAAAGTGTGCAGTTAATTACATAGGGCAACAATATATTTCATGAAGAAAACATGTTCTCATGAATATAAATATAACAACAATGTTATCCAATGCTCAAAACACAAACAAATGAATACACAATAAGTCCAAGTCCATGATTTGAATATAGAAACAACTTCTAAAACACAAATAGATCCATGGAGCCATTAGATAGAATTTAATTAAACAAAATATTTAAATTCTTTAGATTTCAAATCAAATTCAAATAACCTCTAATTAATATATGTTAAATAATATAGCATGCTCATTACATATATCAAATCAAAAGTGCAAAATGAGCAAGATATCATCATGTAAAATTTAATTAATCTAAATTAATTAAATCTCTAAATTTTCAAGGTTATTCAACTGACCCCAAATTAATATATAAAAAATACTAAATCATGATTATTCCATATATCAAGTCTAAAATGGGATACAAGAAAAACACAAGTTACTAGAATTTAAATCAATTTAATTTCATTAAATCTCTACATTTGAAAACTCATTTAAATCATCACAATTTAATATATAACAAAGATTAACTCATGGCCATGCCATTTACCAAGTCTAAAATGAGTTATATGCAAGCTACGATAAATCATTAATTTCTCAAATTAACAAAAGACATGTATACAACTTATATTTCATACAAAAGCAAGGAAAACAATTTGGAAAATAAATTATAACACCCCCTACCTGACAAGAGGATTGTTCCTCTTGAATCCAAGGCAAATCAACACAAAATGGCAAACCCTTCAAGGGTTATGAAGAGGAGGATGAGGGGAACAAAAAATATTTCCAAGGTCAAGCTTGGAAATCAATGGAAGGCTCTCAAAAATCAAAGTCAAAGCTTAAGGCTTTAAGCTTCATCCATGGAGGCTAGGGTTTTTGGTGAGGAAGGAAATGAAATAATGAGATGAAGTGTGAGTGGAGAAATTAGAAATCCTTCACTCACTATATGATCTTACACCATGGTTAACACACACAAGTCTTGGTCAATTGCACAAAAAGCCTTGTTTCAAACCATAATCCCAAAGTGGCCTAAAAATTAATTGCAAGACTTAATTTGGAGCATACACTTTTCACTCATCCAAGCATCCATTGTAGGCTTAATCCCAAGCCTACACTTGTCAACCATCTAAGCCAACAAGTGCATCTATCCTAGGTCGACAAGTGGTTAAATCTCCACCCTCCACATGTCCTCATCCAAGGCCTTAAAGTGCTTCCACACAATTGTCAACAAGTGACCAATGAGAGTGTAACACTTGTCACACTTTTTCAGAAATTGCAAAAAGGTCCTTTTTGAAAATATCTTCCAAATTAAATAGTAAAATGGTCCCTAAGACGAAAAATAATTACTTTACAGTAATTACACAAATGACCCCAAAGAAAGGAAAATTCCAAAGAAGTGTGCATCCACACCCCTAAGGAAGAAAGTACACAACTAGTATGCTTTTCTACAAAAGTAAAAATACACATAGCGTGGAATTTAAATATCGTAGATGCATGCAAAACTGAAATCAAATCCGAATACGAAAAGTGAGGTTATGCCAACAAAGTGACACCCGAGAAAAAGACGAAAAGTGAATAGTATCACAAAAGTGAAATGTGAAAATGACTCGGTCCTCAAAGGAAGTCGTCAATCTAAGGAAAAGAGTCTTGAAAACCATCCCCGAGCACTTAAGATGACACTAAGTGACAAGAAACCGAACTCAGAAAGGAAAAGATCAACGGAAAAAAAAAAATATCCGTGAAATCTGAGAAAAAGGAAAGGAAAGAAAATGACCGGGTCATTACAATATCTTTTTAACTGTCTTTTGTTCTCACACATTGAGGACAATGTGCATAATAAGTTTGGGGGTAAGGTTGGCTTAGAAATTTTAATTTTTGGCTTAATCTGTTTACACAAGGAAGTGATTTAATATTTGATGATATAAGAATGTGTTTGAGTCTGTTGATGGGTTATATACTCTATTTGCAGTCTGATGTTGGTTATAACTGGTTTGTATGCTAATTTACCAGTGAAAGGGATTACTTGAAATTTTTTAAAATCAGTTGGTGGCCTGTGGTTCACTCTGTTTGGATGATTGTTATTTAATGATGTTGATCTCTAAGATACTACACTTTGCACATATGCACACTTGCATGAATTTTGTGGGGTAGAAATTAGAATTCTTGTTTTGTTTTGAGTTAGACTAAGAGGATCAGATAGATTTGATAGTTTTGATGACCAAGACATAAAAAATAATAATAATAGAAGAAAAGAAAAAAAAAAAAACACAAAAAAAATTGGTATGTATGCAAAGCAATAAAGAAAAAACTTCTTCACTAATGTGAATGAAAAATGAAAAAAATATGATGAAAAACAAAGAAGAAAAAGAAAAGTAGAAAATGATCAAGTTCAGGTTTGCACTTGGATTGCTTGAGTGATTAAGTCCGTAGGGGTGTGTTCTAACACCTAATGCCCTAAGATCGTCTAGTCTGGGAGTCATTGGCTGAAAGCTTGTTACATAAGGGATTTAGGTTACTTAGATTACTTGAACAATTAAGTCATTTGGGGTGTTTCAACACTTAATGCCCTAAGATCATCTGGTCTGGGAGTCATTGGCTGAAAGTTCACTACAAGAGTGATTTAGAAAGTTTAATAAACTTGAACATTGCACACACTACAAGAAAAATAGTTTTTTAGAACGCCCTTTTTACCACGGTTTTAAAATAACCGTGGTAGAAATTATCTTTTACCACTGTTATTTTAAAACCGTAGTAGAAATTAATATATTTTACCACAGTTATTGTAAAATCGTGGTAGAAAATTTTTTTACCACGGTTATAATAGAACCGTGGTAAAAAGTGAATTTATTTCACCACGGTTATAAAAGAAAGTGAATTAATTTCACTTAAATTTAGTGCATTTTTACTCAGCCTTTTATACCGCTCTTTCTATCACGGTTAATGAAAAATCGTGGTAGTAAGTTATTCTACCATGGTTTGGGCACCGTGTAGAAAATGAATTTGGTTTAAGGTTGGGCGTGGGTCTTATGCCCGCTACTTTCTTAAAATTTTAGGCAAATCCTTTCAGACCACACACACCTACAGACCACATAATTTTAGGGCAAATCATTATTAAAGCCTCCCCAATGGCCTCCATCTCTATTCTCGTTCTTAACTCTAAACTTGCCCTCTCTCTATCTCTGCAACTACAAACTACAAAATGTACAAGAATCAGATCGGCCTTCTAGATAGCCTCCATCTCTATTCTCGTTCTCAACTCTGAACTTGCCCTCTCTCTGTCTTTGCAACTACAAACTACAAAATCTACAAGAATCAGAACCCATATCGGCATATCATTTCAGATTGTTCAAAAAATCAAAACCCATATCCTTCAGTTTCCATCGCCTGCTGTTCTAGTTCAGGTTCGCCAATCGAAAGCTTCAGCCTCAGGCCCGTTGTCTCTCAACTCTCAAGCCTTCTCTACTCTCTCATAAGGATGACGTTGAGTAACGACTTGAAGATCAGCAATCGACCAAAATTACAAAACTCTACAGGTAAATGTTTCTCTTATATCTTTCATCTCAATATGTGGCGAAATATTTATCTCTGTATGCGGATAAGTAATTGTGATGAAAAATTAGTTGGAGATTTTGGGATTTAAGGATTTTACTAAATTAATTTGATGCAATTTATTGATTTTCTTGAAGCCCTAAGCTTTTGCTGGAGTTTGGTTTTTAAAGCATGAAGAGCTAAGTGATAAGAAAAGGGTAACCTGTTAGAACACGGTTTTAATACACGGAACTGTAGACTTTTGAATGGATTGTTGAAATTTGCTTGGAATAAATTCATAATGTTATGTCCTTACAACACAAGAAGGTCTATGTCAACCGCCTGCTTCTTGATGAGTGATGCTCAATGGAGAACATCTAGAAATGTAGAAGTTGTGGATAAGGCATGGTTTATAGTTTCATTTTTGTTATAATCAAAGTATTTGTAATAGCTATGATGAATGAGAGATGTACAGCTAGGCATCTTACAAAAAAACTAAATAAAGATAGCTTCTTGACCAGAAATAACAGAATGCTTAAATTCTATGGTATTGGTCTTTTTTTTTTTTTTCAAAAAAGTTTTAGTGGGAGTTCTCTTGAACTGCTGCGGGTGCTTAGTTTTCTGTAGCCCCAAATGAAGCCAAAGGGGTGCAGCAGAATATCATTGATTGATCGTGAATCTGCATGTACTGTTATATTCTGGGAATCTATCATTAGCAAATTTTTTATTTGTTCTCAGTATGCAGCTGCTAGAGCATGGACTAAATGGGAAATGATGACTGCTCATCTTCTTCCAAATGAAGAGAATATCAAGAGAGGGGATGATGATAAGTTTTCATTGGTGAGTTACTCTTTAGCAGACACCCTCTTTTGTTGTTGTATATTGTATATGACTAATTACCATATGCTTTATGGCCATCTAAATCCAAATTTTATCTTCTATAGATTCAATATTCAGGAACCTTTTACTTTTTTCAACAGTACAAATTCTGACTACAGATAAGTGATTCAATTGGTGATTTTTTTATAAATCTTATTTGGTTCTAGATTTAGGGATTGTTGGTGAAACTCAAATTTGATCTCATAATTTAAGTGTCACAAATGGGTGTATGTTTTGTTTTAGATTGAAAACACACCAAATATTATCATTTAAACCCCGATTGAATCATTAACCTTGCAACACTTTGCCAATTTGCAATGCAACAGTGACATCAACTTTCATTTTCCAAGTTTTTTTTTTCTTTTTTTGGTTCAGCATTACCTTTATTTTGGAATTTTTAAGGCCTCATCGGTGGGATTGTCTCTAAGTAGGGGACCTAAGTGGACTGTAATGGTACTCCCTGTTTAAACTTAATACTGAACCAAAAATTCATGAATTCCCTTTGTCTTCTTTAGAAGAAAGCCCGAGCTTATGGCGTCATCGATGGTTCTAAGTATACGAATTAGCTGGGGAAATGAAGAGTATGCAATTAATCTTATCTTAATTTTTCTTAATACCATTTTTAGATACTTTCAACTTGGTATAAATGTTTATCTGTTGAAGTTATGAGCATCTGTAATTTGTGATCAGATCTTATGATTAGGCAGCTTTATTGTGATTGTTTAACATGGCTCAGTCTTTTTCTTTTTTCTTTTTTTTGATATGAACTTAATTTGTTCCCCACAGGCATTCGCAAGAATTGAGAACCATTACTTTGTTTTGGTAATGTAATTGCATTCACATATTTAGATGATATCTGAGATTTTGCAAATTTTGCTTTTAAATGCTTAACAAAGAACATGAAAAAGCTGAGGATTCAAAGCCAGCAACAGTTCCACCTGTCGTGGGAAGCTGAACATAGGCTTTTGCTGGAGTTTGGTTTTTAAAGCATAAAGAGCTAAGTGATAGGAAAAGGGTAACCTGTTGTATGCCTTCATTTGGGGGTTCTCATTCATGACAACTATTAAATTATTTAGTTCATCTCAGTACGGCTAGGTGTTTTTTGATCTTTTAATAATGTACTGTGCTTTTTCTTTTTTCTTTTTTTCTTTTTTTTTTTAAAAGTATTGAGACTGGAATTGGGTCTTCAAGCTCTTATCGACTTGACAGATTGCAGGGAGGAGATAATAGCTTACTTTCGCTTTCTCCCTCAAGCTAATACAAGCAAGGATGCAGACTTATGGATCCCAACAGACACAAAGCAGTGGCAGCAACCTCCTTTAATAACACCTATTAAATCAATGAGTAGTGAACCTCTTTGTGTGCAGCTATATTTGGAACATCCAAGTTTCTTTGAACCAAAGCCTTAAGGAGAGCAGCCACTACAATCACTATAAAGCAGGTAAACCCTCTCTTCTCTCTCTCTCTCTATATATATATGTATGTGTGTGTGTATCTCTACATATATATATATATATACATATATGTGTGTGTGTGTATGATGTGTTTTGGCCATCTATGTGATCCAGAAACCCCAAGCACTCAAATAGTAAAACTTATCCATTCAGAAGTGAATCTTTAGATTTAATGGTGTAATTTGGAAAAGAGCAAGTCTACTAAGAAGTTCATCTTGTTTATCTGCACCTAAAATATGGTTTTTTTCTTTAGAAACTGTGCATCTTTATTCTTTAATATTTTCAAGATCATGCTTCTACATTTGCCATAGTTAATATATTCTAACAAATGATTAAGGGTATACCAATATGTGTTAAAACAAAAGGGGAAAAGAAATAGATGAAAGCATAAATGATTGATAACCTAGTTATAGAAGAAAAACTCTAATCATGAACCAAGCTAGTTTGATCCTTGACTAATAATCTTAGCAATAAAAGTGTTGTTTCAGCAATTCAACAATATATATAGTACTTCAATGCATTTTTATGTTTTGCAATGTGTGCGCAAGGAAAAATGTATCGCCGTGCAGTGAAGTTGAAACCTATGTTCTTATTTCATCATTAATGTATATTAGATGAGTAAACTTCAACTCATGTTTAAGTTGAACATTTTTCTGCCCAGGCTACAAAAAGAAAGCCACCTCTACTGGATCAGTCTTGGAGGGCTCAGGATCTTCTAGGAGCTCAGTGCCATCAACGATTATGAATGAGTAAGATATATAGAAGTCTCTTAATTATCTGTTTGGTTTACATATTCCATTTTGTATAATTATCATTAAGCTAACATTTCCAACCTTTTTTCTTTAGGTCTCCATCGGAAAATGAAAGAAAGTTGCATGTGAAAACTGAGGTAATTTCCCTTTTCTAGATTTCAACGCAGCTATATATGTTCAGTTAAATTAGAAGGAACTACTTTGAATCCATTTAAAGCAACCAATTAGTATATACCATTTGAATTTCTTTGGCAGTAATAAGGAATTCTCAAGAAATAACATTTCTCCTACTACAGTAATACATTGTAAGAGTTGAGTAAAAAAAAAATGGATTAACCACTTGATTCTGTACGTATTAGTAAAAATTCCATTAGGCCTGCTAGATTTAGACCATTTGATTGGAACATTTTTTCCCCTTTTTGGATAATGCAATAAGGGGAATATTAAACAAGATCATTCAATCACGAAAACAATAGAAAAAGTGGTTGTTAGTAAACAAATGTAAGCAATTAATCTTCTTGCTAGTCCTTTGCTTGAGCTTCCATGGCAGATTGGGCCCTCTCCTATGCAGCTGCAAGTTTTGATCCCTTTGAACACATATCTCACACAAGAATCTGTTAGTGGCCATCAGAGTCTTGGGTGATAAAGCGATTACTTCGGCTTCAGGATCTGTTAATAAAGATAGTGTACAAAATATTTTTAAAAAATAATAATCTTGAATATCCATGAATATACCTCTGAACATAATAAAGTAAGATAGACAAGAAAACAATCAAAAAAATTATGTTTGATTGGGAAAATAGAGAGGCTTGCCTGGATTTCCTGGGAGGTTTCTCTTCTTCTTTATGGTGGGAGGATTTGATCCACCAATTGGATTTTGAATGGAACCATTAGAGGTTGCTTCTTCTGCCATTTTTTCTAACATATATGTATATATATATATATATATATTAATTAAGCTTCTATTTTCAGTTTGATGATTCAATATAAAAGAAGAAAGTAAACCCTATTAGAATAAAAGGTTCAGATGAAAACTACTGAACCTAAATGGTGAGAAAAACCAACAGAAAGATACCTTTTGTTATGTTGTCAACCTTATCAGCAGAAGCTAAGATATGATGAACTGGATCCTCTCTCTTTCTCTCTCTATCTCTCTCTCTCTCTCTCTCTCTCACACACACACACACACACACACACACACACACACACACACATCAAAGGGAGTATCAGAATAGAATTAAGAGAAAACCCAAGAGAGTGTTTGCAAACTTGCAGTCTTTGACCTGCTTTTGGTTTAGAAAAGAATAAATATTTAGTATTTTATGGGAGGCGGTGGAAAAAGTGAAAGTTGGAAGTAAGAGAGGTAGGGGTTGAAGATGAAGAGAGGAGGTAGACAAAGCAAAGCCTAAAGGTGCATGATGACACATATAATGAGGTCTGTGGAAAGTGAAGCTACATGCCTTTCCCATTGGAATGATTATCCCATAATTTGAATGTTTTTTGTTTTTATATAAATTTTTAGAATATGCTTTCTTTCAATCCCTACTTTTAATATATTTGTTTATTCTAAATATAAAAATTAGTTTAATTTATGTGCAAAACCCACACAAATTTGCCTTTCAATATATTTAAGTTTGTGACTTTTAGATGCAGGTTGTATCTCTTTGATGTTGACACCCATTCATGGTGGGATTTTCACCCATGAACTTGTCTTTGTTTATGGGTGTTTTCACAATATTAGAAATCAATTATATTTTCTGGTGCATATAGAGCCTAAAGAGAGAGATGATCACTTTGTTGTCCACTTGTCAATTATATTTTCTGGTGCATATAGAGCCTAAAGAGAGAGATGATCACTTTGTTGTCCACTTGTAAGGAAATGTCTTTTACTTTGTGTAGACACCCCTTTTTCACCTCTCTGGATATGTGTTTGTTTCTGTCCCTTTACTTCCTCTCACAATGGGATTGAGAGGGAACAAGGGGCATACCCATGTCAGTACTATCTCAGTACATCCCAATCTCCCCAATATTAGTAAACTACACACACAGTTGTTATATCCCTTTGAACTATTTGAATCTAATTTCCACCAATTTTGTGTCTTTATTACTTGTATTTTGTCAAGGCATATGAAACTGAAGTATACATGCCTCTTTGAAAGTAATCTTACTACTATTTTGTCGGGTTATATATGTCACTGAGTAGCATACACCTTTAAAAATAACTAATATTGCTTTGTTTGACTTGGACAACAACTTGAAGAAACTGAGCTCTGCAAGGACCATTTTAGTCTTTATTCTCTTTTTCAAGTGTGCTTGAGCTTCTTAGTCAAGGATTTCAATAGACCCCCCAAAGTTTGACCCCCAAAGTTTGACTTAATATTGGTTGAAAATGAATATTACATGTTCCTTTTTCATACCCATTTGGCTTTATATTACTTCGTGAATGCACAATGTTATTCAGACTATGGGATTTTTATCCTTGATAGATTAAATAAGTTCATAGGTTTTTATTTTTTTTATCTAGGAGAAAAAAGTTTTGATCCTATCCAATTCAATCCATTCAAAGAATATAGCTTTTATTTTTGAAAACTACCATTTAAAGCCGGTTATAAGTATATGTTGTATATTTTAGGTAACTATTTTTCCTTAGACAATTTTATCACTTTATATTTTTTTATAAAGACAACAATAGCCATTCTTTTATGAACTTGCTTTACATTAATTCTCTTATTTCAACTATTACATCTTTGTAGGTTAAAGCTAGGATTGCAGTTGCCGTTACTTTTTTTGTTGCCGCTATATTTTTTATATGGTTCATGAAGAAGTTGCAAGAAGATATGAAGAATTTTTGTTTTATTTTGGTCAAGTAAATATATAAGGTGTGGATCATGTACTTATTTGAAATTTGTATATGGCTAATTTTTGTATAAAACAATGATTTGCTTATATATATATATATGATGTTATTGGTCAGTTGTAAATTATTTTGATTATGATGTTATTTTTTATTTATTTAGAGTTTGCTTATGGGGTCCTTGCAAGGCTATTAGTAGGGAAGAAGAAAAAAAAAAAAAAAAAAAAAAAAGGCTTCAAATGGGCCACACTATCTTTTTTAAAAAATATATATATATAACACTTTCTACCACGGTTATGCACCGTGGTAGAAAGTCTATTACTTTCTAAAAAAATAGACTTTTTATCACGGTGCATAACCGTGGTAGAAATAAAGACTTTCTACCACGGTGCGGAACCGTGGTTGAAAATAGACTTTTTACTACGGTTTTGCACTGTCGTAGAAAGTCGACTTTCTATCATGGTTAAAACAGTGGTAAAAAGTCTCGACTTTCTACCACGGCTGTTTCTATCACGGTTCAAAACTGTGGTAGAAAGCCTTTTCCACTGTGGTAAAAAGTCATTTTTTTTGTAGTGACAGTATCCTTTTTGAAAAAAATGCATACCCAGAAAAAAAAAAAAAAAAAAAAAAAAAAAAAAAAAAATTTCCTTGAGAGTTGGAATTTGAAGAGTCTGCTTATGAATTAAGGAATAGTAAGGAATAAATGCAAGAATGTATAATAAGCCACATGTTGAATAGTAGGATCACTTTCAAAATACCTTTAGAGATTAAAATTGTTGAATAAATGATTAAACTGATATGTGGGGGCTTTGGTTGCTTATTGAGATTGGAAGTTGAAAGTTTTTTTTATTACATGATTGGTATACTTGTTATATTTGACTGATTAATGAACTGTAGGGATGATATGATTTGAAAACAGGCGTGAATAAGCTTGATATGCATTTAAGGCATTGATTTGAGAAGTTTGTGGGTATCTTCACTGGAAACCCTCACGAGACTACAACTAGTCCACTAGGGATAACCTAGGGGTTTAAAGGGTTGTTACATAGGCTAAATGCAACCGTGATTCCCATGAAAGCGGCTTTTTAGTTCTGTATCGCTAAGGGACTAACAATATGTAAGTTAGGGGGTGTGATAAGCGTTGAATATATGCATATTCAAGCCCCTAAATACGTATATGTTAAAGCCTAAAGTGATACTTCTATCCATAATTAGCCTAATTTATGTTTGATGTGTGTTTATAGGTACTTTCCCAGATAAATAGTTAAAACCGGGACTTTATGATGATATCAAAGCTTACAGAGTCGTTGCCGGTCATTCAGAGCAAGCCGAGAGCGTAAATGGTGAAGTTTGAAGAAATTCAAGCCTTAGAGCTAGAGCCCAAGTGTTGAGGCTCGAGCATCACAACAAAAAGAAGAAGAAAAGTCAACAAGGTCTAAAAGTTCGAGCATTGTACCTTGATGCTCGAGCCTTACCAAGAGGTGCTCGAGCCTTAACCAAGGGTGCTCGAGCCTTGACCCTCAAGCTCGAGCATCATGCATCAAAAATTAATGAGTTGATTTTAATTGAAGACTATGCTCCCAGGTCTCGTGCCTTACCTCCAGGATGTACCATCTATTAAGGATCGAGCATTATCCACTGATGCTCGAGCCTTGAGTTACAAATGCTCGAGCCTGGTACCTAATGCTTGAGCCCTTGAAGCTTGGATCGAGCAATGTTAAAAGAGTTCAACTCTAAAAATATTCTAAGTGTTGGAGAAAAAGACGCTTCAAAAAATAGTTGAAGAAAATTGGCTAAGTGTCAAAGTGAAGATCAAGCACCATTTATTGAAGCTCGAGCATCCATCCAAAGAAGCTCGAGCATTGTTCCTTATGCTTGAGCTTGTACCCTAAAGCTCGAGCATCTGTTCCTGAAGCTCGAGCTTTCCATGACATGTCAGATTAATATTGTGGGATTTCTCTCTTTACCAGCCGTATCTCATCTCAGTTGGGCCAGAAGACCTATAAGCCCACCAAATACTTTTTTTCTTCTATAAAAGAAAGCGTAAGCCTTAATAGAATGGGACCAAAATTTCAATCTCTTTTACAGTGTTATTTAGAAGGCTGAAGGTGTTCTTGCTTTTAGGGTTATTACAACCTTGAAAGTGAAGATCCTGAGAAGAGAAGTACCGTCCGTGGCGATGGATATCAACTCAACACAGATGATATCTAACCTTATCATGAGTAGCTAATTCCTCTCTTAGGGAACTGACGTAACCCAACCTAATACTATGGTTAGATTGTT